CCCTCCCCCCCCCCCCCAACCAACTAATCAGTCTCTTCCCCCCCGCCAACCAACTAATCAGTCTCTCTCCCTCCCTTCCTTACCCCCCAACCAACTAATCGATAATGATAATAGTTGACAACTATCGATTAGATGGTTGCAGAGCTACCTGACAGGGGTTCTAAACCCACTTCACTCCATCCAAAACTAAATACAAACCTTTTTTTGTCTCTAGTCCTCTTTTGGGTCACAGGAGTGTATTTACTAATGTCCTCCTGTGACCCAAACGCAGCATATAGCGAGCTATTTTCCACTATAAGTGGACAGCGCAGAGCCACTTTGTGGCTGGGAAAGATCCCAACAATATTGTCAGAATCCACCCCGCCATCTGATAGCTGGCTCTGCCTCTCTAGAGCCAATACCAGCTGTGCCCGCCCTCTCCCCTGTCTGTCCCTCCAATGAGTGCTGGAGGAATAGAGAGGGGAGGGGGGGATCCTTGCCGCTAGTGGTGACCTTAAAGGAGAACTATGAGGTTAGTGATTTCCACTCACCTCATAGTTCTAGCCGACCTGTGACAATGAGACTGTCACAGGTCGGATCAGTAGATCAGGAGATGAGCGAACACATACCGACGTTCGCTCACTTCTCGATCCTGTCACGGCTCTCTGCCGTGACAGGGGAGGGGCTGGATTCCCCCCTCCCCGCTCCGCCAACGCTGACTGGCGGAACGGAGGGGGGAGGGGGCGAGTACAGCTGGCTCTGCCTCTAGAGAGGCAGAGCCAGCTGTCACTCACGCAGCTGGGCGGATCTCGACATCGAGGTCGGGATCCGCTGCGGCGTCTCAGTATACCGCAAGTAGTAGCTTGCGGTATACTGAGCTTAGGGTGACGGGAGGACGCTAGTTTGTGTCCTCCCGTTACCCTAAGGAGAACTATGGGGAAAAACACTGACCCCATAGTTCTCCTTTTTTAAAGTGCTTTTCCTCTTTTGTTGTCTGTCTGCACCATGCTTTGCTTCCTGGCCGCCTCCATCCTAGCAGCCAATGACGCTGGATCGCTGGGTGACACCATGACTTCAATTTTTATTTAAATCATTTTATTACTTTTCTTTTCATACCCACAAAGATGTTTACACCGGGACATATGCACACCCTGGGTTGGGAACCACAAGTTTATGAATGGAGCACGGGTTCATCTTTGTGATTCATTGAGCCCGAACCAATGACGCAAGGCTGAGGATGACAGTCCTGGAACCTGGACCCTAAAAAAAAACAAGTCGGCTTTCCTATTTCTGCGATGATTGGAACGTGAAAGAAAAAAAATCAAAACTGCAACATTGGTGGTGTTAGCGCCTTTGTTGTGGCCCTACACAGATACCAGCGTATGCCAGAATATCTTTCCAAGCCGCTCACTGCAAAGCACCATACAGTATCCTAACACAGGGGTAGGCAACCTTGGCACTCCAGCTGTGGTGGAACTACAACTCCCAGAGGCATGATGAGGTTTTTAGTTTCAGTGCTGAGGTTGCCTACCCTGTCCTAACATATTCGGCTTCATACATCCAACAATTTTTATTTTACTTTTTTTTTCGTTTTGTTTTTTTTCTTTAGGTTTTGCCAAAAGGATTAGATTTCGTTTTCCCCCGACATTGTCAAATTCGCGCCATTCAGACAACTTCCGTATGTCTAAAGGTGAGTGCTCCATTGTAGTGTTCTGCTGTCTGTCATTGGAAAACTTTCCAAAGCAGCTACAGGCTGGATTCACAAAACGTTACACAAGGAGACGGATCTTTGTTTTGCTCGTGTGATTGGGATGTTCTCATGTCAGGGGGCTCAGCTGAAAATAACTCACTTTATTTATTTTAAGAAGAAATCCGTAAAAATCTTAACCTTATAGTGGGACTACCCCACCCCCCACTTCGTCTAGGGGACTCAAATAAAGCAGATAGACGCACCTGATCCCAGCCAGGGTAATGGAGTAAAGCAGATTTACTCACCGGATTCTCGGTCCCTGCAGCCTCTTCTCCCCTGTGCTCCAGCAGTCTAAGGCCCGGTTCACACCTGGGCGTTTTGTAGCGCGTTCGAACGCTCTGCAAAACGCTCAACCACTGAAATCCCATTATTTCCTATGGGTATGGTTCACACCTGGGCGTATTACAGGCCGTATGAACGCGCTACAAAACCCCCTACGCCCAAAGAAGTACAGGAGCTTCTTTGGGGCGTTTTTGTCGGCGTATCCATCGGGATACAGCCAGGTAGCCCTCGGAAACGCGCGGTTTTTTTTTACAGCGACACGAAGCGCGCATATTCGATACGCCTAGGTGTGAACCCAGCCTAAGGAGCACTGACATCATCATGTCTTATGCAGGTCCATTGCCTTGCCTTAGACATGAGAAGGCCTAGAGGCATTACACAGCTGGGAGGGGAGGAGGTGAGTGCTGACCGCAGCAGTACTGAGGATCAGGTGAGTATATCTGCTTTATTTGAGCCCCCCCCTAGACAAAAGCGAGCACTTAACCCTTTCAGTGTGGGGGGTAGTCCCACTACAAGGGTAGGTTTTTTTTTTTTTTTTTTTCCAGAATGCTTCTAAAGTGAACTTTTTTCAGCTGAGCTCACCGACCTTAGAAAATCACAATCACACGGGCAATTCACAAAGCACCAGGATAAGGATCCTTATTTAAAGAAGGACTCCAGAAATGTAAACTTAACCTAGCAGTGGAGCTACCCCCACATTGCAAGGGTAAGCTTTTTTTTAATTTCTTGAGTTCTTTTTTAAATAACGATCCTTATCCTGGCGCTTTGTGAATTGCGCCTGATGAATAGGTTTTCCAGCTCTATTACAACAATGGTGAATGTTTTAATTCTCTAATTCTTTTTATGTATGACCATTGGCTTTTCTGGGTTTTTAAAAAAATTTATTTAAACGACTCCACATTAATAGTGCTCTGCTTGCATTGGAAGCAAACTTGTGTACCCTGAGGCCCCGTTCACACTGAGCGATTTATCGCGCGGTAATTCCCGCGATGTCGCGGCTATTTACTGCGCGATATCGCTCTCCAATGGATGGCAATGGGGCTCTGTCCGTCGCTGTCGTGCGTCGCTACAGCAGGACCCTTTTTGGAGCAGATTTTGCCGCGATTCTAGCTTGCTCAATGCAAGCATTCGCGCGACAAACGCGCGATTTGCGACTCGCTCAGTGTGAATGCCGAAGGCCCCATTCACACTGAGCGATTTATCGAGCGATTTATCGAGCGATTTTTGCAGCGATATCGCTCTATGTAGCTTCTCCAATCCATTTCAATGGAGCTGTTCACATCTCTTCGCTCAATATCGCTTGTAGCTCCTACATGACCCTTTTTTCGAGCGATTTTGCTCCTGATTGCATACAGCCCAATAGGAAATAGTCGCTCAATATCGCAAGTCGCTCAATATCGCTCGTCGCTCAGTGTGAATGGGGCCTTAACTGCAGTGCCGATGCCAAGTATTTTGGTGAGTACTCACACTCGCCCAAATACTCTGACGCCTAGCCCGATACTTCCTGTATCAGGAAGTCGGGCAGAGCGTCATCACATGCTTCCTGATTGGTCAGGAAGCTGGCCAATGAGGAAGCAGTGTGCCCTGTAATGACGTGGCACCAGGCTTTCTGCTTGGCAGGGAAGCCAGCTTCATTCTCCCTCGTCACCTCAAAACGAGGGAGCATGGAGCCGGAAAATCGGGATGCCGGGTGCTGCGTTATTACACGGCGCCCGGCTTCCTATTGGCCAGAAAGCCGGCTACATGCTTTCTTGTCATCTAGTGACGAGAAGCATGGGGACGGCTTCCCTGCTAATTCGGGAAGCTGGGTGGCAAGTCTCACTGTGCCCGCCTTCCTGATTGGCCAGAAAGCCGGCTCCATGCTTTGTCGTCACATAGTGACGAGAAGCATGGGGACAGCTTCCCTGCTAATCGGGAAGCCAGGTGGCGAGTCATTACACACCACCTGGCTTCCTCAATGGGACTTCCGGTATCGGTAGTCGGTATCGGCGAGTACCGGAAAAAAAATATTGGTCCTCGATACCGGTATCGGTGCATCCTTAGCCATAACGCTGCTTTGTAAATCAGTGCTTTACTATTGCAATTTCGAGGTTTGAGAGCTTCTGTGGGTTGCAGCCGAGCAGTTATTTATTTATATATTATATGTGTCCGGTATTTTGGGGTTGAAATTTTGCAGGTACCTAAAAACAAACATATAGCAGGGTGGGATAAAACAAGCTTTATAGAATCTGCCCCCTTGGGGTACAGAAGATTCTACAAAATTGCAGGTCCACTTTAGGACCTTGGCACAGACTGATTTGGAAGATCTCTATTTGTACCAGGTGCACAGAGACGGTACATTGGATCATTTTACTAGAACAGTGCTGATTATATTTATTATTAATGAATCTACATCTCGTCCTAGAACCGGGCAGCACGTGTGCGTGTGGGTAAAGGCGACAAGCCTGTGACCTATGAAGAAGCCCATCCTCCGCACTTTATCGCCCATAGGAAAGGCTGGCTGTCTCAACATACAAGTGAGATCTGTTTCATTGTTCAGTTTTCCTTACCATGCTGATCTCTAGAAATGTAAATACAGTGTAAAATATCTCCTATTGATGCTGCTCCCTGGCGGCTGTGGGTATTTGACCGGGTGAAATACCAGTTTCCCTCACTGCATGCACTGGTTCCTCCTGCTGGCTTGTTTGTTCTGTTATAATGTACAAACCAGCAGGAGGAACCACTGCATGTGGCAGGGGTAGCAGGTACCAAAAACCTGGCACTCTTGATTACATGCAATAGGTGGGTAGCATTGAGGCGGCGTTTAGTGACGCAGCCCACCAGAAAGGTAAGTATAGTTTTACATAGGGATGCACCGATACCGGTTTTTCGGTATCGCGTACGTGTACCAATATTTATTTATTTTTCGGTACGCGCCAATACCAGAAGTCCCATTAAGGAAGCCGCGCAACGTGTAATGATCGTCACCCTGCTTCCCGATTATCCAGGAAGCTGGGCGGCATGTAAAGACTTGCCACCTGGCTTCCCGAATTAACAGGGAAGCCGTCCCCATGCTTCTCGTCACTAGATGACGAGAAAGCATGGAGTCGGCTTTCTGGCCAATGGGAAGCCGGGCGCCGTGTAATGACTCAGCACACGGCTGGGCGCCGCGTCATTACACGGCACCCGGCTTCCTGATTAGCCAGTTTCCCGACGAATCAGGAAGCCGGGCAGGGAGTCATTACGCGTTGCTCGGCTTCCTGATTGGCCCGGGAAGCCAGCTCCATGCTCCCTCGTCACAACTCTTCACACAATTATGAAGTGACAGGTTTGCTTGTGTCCAAAAAAAAAGACAGAGGACAAAGGTCTGGTCACATATGTTGGGTGGAGGCGACCATCTTGGTGGAGGCAGAGCATGGCTTTCTCATGTCAAAGCAATCCCCCTGATGACTAGTGGGGAAAATATTCAACAAGCAATATGGTAGGTGCACAAAACCAAAATCTACTGAATGGGTGAAGCAGAAGCACAGAGAACCTTTCATTGCAGCATGTTCTCCAGCAAGTGGCACAGTGAGCAGGACAGTAGTGACATCTCCAAATCTAGCAGTCACAGGCACCGTGCCATCGATCACACTCTAGATATGAGGATCAAGGCACGTGATTGCCTAGGTACAGTTATATTTCAAGAGCAGTTCAAGACAAAAAGTAAATGTTTCAGCGTTCTGTTTCGGCACGATCATCATTCATATAAGTTTTCTATAATGAGAGGATGAGCTTGGGTTCGGACCAAAGGCAGTCTGAACCAGAACTCCTCTGAACCCCTAGACATCTGCAGCCAGGGAATTCCCAGCCCGCAGCTGCACGTAAGCAAAAGGGACAGGATACTGTGACATCATTGGTCGTATATGGTCACATGGCTATGTTTGGTCAATTACATTAATTCAATATGGCCATATAAGGTCAATGATGTCAGCCCAAGCATTCCGTCCATTTGTGAATGTGCAACTTAGGGGTGGGGAATGCCCCGGCCCACAGCTGATGTGGTGGGTGGCCCCATGTCTCTTCCAGGTTTAGTCTGAACCTGAGCTTATGGCTGTAAATGACCAATCCCTTTTTTTTTTTCCCCCTTCAATTCAGGCAATGTTAATGAATGCAGCTAAACAATATAACTCCCGGTATAGAAGTCTGAAATCTTGTTTTTTCCCCATTCAGGTAACTTGGATGCTGAAGAGGACACTGCAGGGCGTACGATAGAAGATATCTACATTCGGAAATTTATGTATGGCACGTTCCACGGCTGCCTGGCTAATGAGATTGTGATCAAGAGACGGGCCAATCTAATCGTGATCTGCGCTATCGTTCTCCAGAGGCTCCCGCCACAGAAGTTCTATTTTCTGGTTGGCTACACCGAGTCCTTGCTGTCCTTCTTGTACAAATGTCCGGTGAGGGTTGAACTACAGACCGTAGAAGATAAAGTCATTTACAAGTGGTTGTAATTCAGCCTTTTAGAGCTCCTGCCCCTCGTTGGTGAGTGGTCGGCATTTATGGACGATCAGTTCTGCAAAGTGCGTGTAAATAAAGTGCTCGTTGCTTTTTGTAACCTGGTCTCTGTGAATTGTATGTTGAGGTGATTGAGGACTCTAACTCAAGGATACAGTATTTCAGCCAGTTTCATTGTAAGTAGATATAATGTTCCAAGATTCTCATGACTTTTGTCCAAAGCCGGCCAGAGGGAATTTCCATTGGCTGAAAATTGCTCCGTGGTTGGCCCTGTCAGCCTCATCCTGCGATCTCAAAATCAAAGGAGCCGGGTGGAAAGTTTTCAGCTGATGTGTGGCTGTAGCCGGTCAGCTGTTTAGCTGCTCCCACTGTATTCTGTCAGAATACAATTTACACAGCATCCACGCTAGTCTATCAGAATCTATTGGTGTGTAGTAGGGATGCACCGGTGCCGATACCGAGTATTTGTACTTGCCCAAATGCTCCAATACTGGGACTTCTGGTCAGAGGGAGATCTCCCTCTAAATGGCAGTGCCGAGGGAGCATGGATCCGGCTCTCTTTCAAATCGAGAAACCGGGCGGCCTCCCGGCTTACTGATTGGGACTGTGAGCATGTACGTGGAGATGGTCAGGGACTGTGAGCATGTTGATAGAGGTGGGCAGAGATTGCCAACATGCTGCTCGAGTTTTTTGGAGACTGGGCACATATTACAAAAGACTGTTAGTGAACACTGCTGGGCAATGCTTTGACATTTGTACTCCCTGCAGCCCCCTTAAAAATTCCATGTGACGCAACCAATATTTGTCTCGGCACGTTCCACGAACCAATAGAGAGACGGGATGGACAGCGCGATAGATCCTCTGTTGCTGGCGATATTCACCCTCTATAGGCAGTGGTGTATTTAGGTTTTGTGCTGCCCTAGGCAAGACTAAACTCGGGCGCCCCCAATCTAAATCTGCCCCACCCCTTCCAGTTTAGGACATTATGCGTAACCTGTCAGATGCTGGATACAGTGCGCATGCTGTTTCCAACCTCTGACAGGTTGTGCTATTAGCTGGATACAGCGAGCGCCTGTTTAAACAGTAACAGTTGCGCGCTGTATCACTTCTGCCAGCATCAGAGAGAGGAGGTTGAGCTCATTGGCGGATTTGGGTAAGTATTTATTTTTCTGACAATGGCAGATGTTCCATTCACACAGAATCTGGGCTCACATAGTAAAAAAAACCAAACCATATTGAGGGCTAGTTCACACCACAAACAGTGCGTTCCGGCCAAATTTGGTTCCGGAACGCACTGGATCGCATCCCAGCTGGCTCCTTGCATTCAGGGGTGGGAGGCACAGCAGCCACGCCCCCCAACCACAGTGCCAACGCCTGCACCCAAGCGCATGGCACATCAATGCCTGCGTTATGGTCCGGTGCAGTCAGAAAAAACAGGCATTGGTATGCCACACGTTCGGGTGAGGGCGATCACACTGGGGCCGGGGGGCATGTCTGCTGTGCCATTGACTTCAATGTACCGCCATGCCCCCTCCACACAGGGAGCCGCCTGGAATGTGATCCAGTGCGTTCCGGCACCAAATTGGGCCGGAACGCACTGTCCGTGGTATGAACTAGCCCTCAGGTTCTCCTAAATTCAAATAAAGAATAATTCAAATGGTTTATGTTATTGAGGCACACACCTTCCCATCCAAGTCTCTTCCCAACAGCACCGTGTTTGTTCAGCGCATAGTTTTAATTTTTAAAACATATTGGTCCTGCTTGCTTCATTTTTTTTAACTTTAATAACTTCTTTTTATTGGAGGATCCAAAGCACAACAGCTTTCTTTTATAATCAAATACGCTCTTTAATACCTTTTTAAAAAGTACACAACGTTTTCTGGCCAATCGGTTAACTTCTTTGGCAGTTAAGTTCTGACACTGCTTTATGTAACTACTAGGGATGCACCGATACCGATATCAGTATCGGTGCCGATACCAAGTATTTGGGTGAGTACTCGTACTCTCCCAAATGCTCCGATACCTAGCACGAGTACTTCCTGTATCAGGAAGCCGGGCAGCGCATCATTACACGCTGCCCGATTTCCTGATTGGCCAGGAAACGGCTCCGTGCTCTCTTGTCACTTGTGATGAGAGAGCATGGAGCCGACTTCCCTCACAATCAGGAAGCCGGGTAGCGTGCAATGACGCACTGCCCGGCTTCCCGATTGGTCAGGAAGCTAGCAAATCCGGAAGCCGGGCGCCATGTAATGACGCAGCGCCCGGCATTCTGATTTGCCGGGAAGACGGCATCATGCTCCCTCGTCATCTCATGAATCATAATATTAAGAAAGTGACCTTGAAGCATTAGTTTGTATTGCTTTAGAAAAAATGTGACCTGTCCCTTTAAGAAAAAGTATCGGTAATTGGTATCTGCGAGTACTTGATCAAAAGTATCGGTCCTCGTACTTAAAAAAAGTGGTATCGGTGCATCCCTAGTAACAACCAACTAAATGTAACATTTTTTGATTATCACTGAGCAGAAAGGGATGTAGGGAATAAAAAATAAAAAAACCAGTTTAGGCTCCAATAATGGCTGCAAACAAGCGAAATCCGTGTTGTTATTCAACAGATTGCGTTTGCGTCCCGCACGGAAAACTGCGCAGGAATAGCAAACGCTATATGTGAATGGAGCCTTATCCTTACTTTATGGCATTTTCAGAGAAAAGACAAGGATACGTTGCTACAGGGCAGGATCCATTCGCAGAGTACTCAGTTGCCAGGCTGTGAGGCAACCTGGGACAAAGATTAATAATGATTCAAAGTGTACACACATAACTTTCCCATGGCAGCAGATTTGGACTGATCTAAACCACCTACCAGCCTTGCACAGGTCCTTGCAGATCGGCTCCTTTGTGCTCTCTACCAAGCATTCAGTCAAAGCTGAAATGGCAGGTCTGCCCCAGAGACAGGCAGATCGCCCATAAGGTCTCGTCCACACCTAGGCGTATTGCATATGCGCGTTTCCGAAGGCTACTTGGCTGTATCGCAATGGAAACGCGCAACAAAACGGCCCAAAGTAGTACCTGTACCTTTTCAGGCGTGGGCCGTTTTGTAGCGCGTTAGGGACGGGCGGAAATACGCCAAGGTGGGAACGAGACCATTGAATACAATGGGATTTATATTTTTGAGCGTTCGTCGAGCGTAGAACGCGCTACAAAACGTTCAGGTGTGAACGAGGGCTAAGAAAAGGATCCCTGCAGATGTCAGTGTCCACACACGGGACCCGAAGTTTATAGCTGCCCAGGTTGCAGGCTCTTTGTGCAGGCACTTAGCTGCTGCTGCCGCTGACTTCTCCCTGCTGGGCTCCGTGTGCAGGGGGATGGAGGAGGGGGACACAGTGTATAATTGAAGAAGGAGGCGGTGTGCCATACACTTATTGCTGATGGGCTTCCTTATCTGTGTGGTCTGCGCTCAGCCTGGCAGGTGAGGTTCCGTATCACTGGTTTGGGGGTGGCCGCTCCCTGGCAAATGCCTTGTTTGCCTCGCGACAGATACGCCCCTGTCTATAGGTCCTGTCACCGGGACTAAAAGTCATGGAAATCCCAAGATGTCACCGGAACAGAAGGACAAATCTTCTAATGGGGTCACCACTCCACTTTGGAGCCATTTGTTCTCACTTTCTGTTGTGTGCCCAGAACAGGAAATTAAATATCCTTAGTGGCAGGGGGTAGCAAACCTCTGGCCCTCCAGCTGTGGTGAAACTACAAATCCCATGATGCATCTCTTCAGGAGACATGTCTGTGAGAATCTTGCAATGCCTCATGGGAGTTGTAGTTCCACCACAGCTGGAGGGCCGGAGGTTTGCGACCCCCCGACTCCAGGGGATACACCAGAGGTATGCAAACTCGGCCCCCCCCAGCTGTGGTAAAACTACAAATTCCATCATGCCTCTGTCATGCAATAGAACTTGTAGTTCCACAACACCTGGAGTGCCCCCCGGTAGCCTACCCCAGCTTTGGCATGCTGAGAATTGCCCACACTTATTCAGGAATATTTCAGGAAACTGCAAACATAGTGATTATGTGTGCGCTTACACTGCACCATACGGATCTACAGGCAATGACACCGTATACTTTGCATGATCATCAGAATTCTACGTCAGGAGGCTCACATTTCTTTTTCCACATGGTAAGATAACATGTCAGCAATTCAGTGTGCACGCACGTCCACTAGCTGTATACAAGATGACAGACACGTATTACTGCCAGTATGGCGTCAGGTCCTCAGCCATAAATAGCACATAAGGGTCACAGGCACATTTTTGGAATACATGTGTAGAGAGACTAGTCATTGTCCTTCCCCATGGTCCCCGTGTGTGATGTAGTCACCGCTCCAAGTGCACTCCTGTGATGGACTATACTGTACCTTCAATACAAATTAGTGAACTAAACGTGAGATTGTAGTCCATAGAGAGAGCTTGGAGCGGTGACTACTTTACAACACACACACACACAGGGACAAAAGTAGAAAAAAATGTACATGAATGAATCTATAACCGGCCTTTATAGCAGGGCGCACATTAGGAAGGCTTAATACAATACAAAACACTACATGTGGCTTCTACATATTTTTGGCCAAAAGTTTGTGCAACTAAAACCTCTGATTTTAACGCATACTGTTGACAAAAGTATCCCCCCTCCAGAAGGAAGGACAGTGTCGGCACCAATTCAGAGATGATTTCAGGATCTACAGCCGAGTGATACATTCAAGTACCTTTAACTATTAACATAAATGTATCTTATGACTTAAGAGAACTATGGGGGGGGGGGTTAACCTTTATATCCCATATTTCTCTTTAGAGTCACCGGAGGACATATACTAACCTCCCTCCCGTGACCCAACGTTCAGTATATAGCGAGCTGAATACTAGGAGCGCCGCAGTCAGGACAGATCCTGACAATACTGTCTGTATCCACCTAGCTGCGTGAGTGACAGCGGGCTCTGCCTATCTAGAGGCAGAGCCAGCTGTGCCCGCCCCTTCCTGCACTCAGCACTGGAAGATCGGTGTGTGGGGAGCGGTGATTGACAGTCACGGTCTCTGCAGGGAGATGATCGAGAAGTGAGTTTAGTGTCACTTTAAAGCTCGTGGGCGATCATACCTGCACCAAAGTTGTATCATGTTGGCCATTAGACAAAGTTGCACGCATGTGATACTACTTGTCACTTAATACAGACATATTGACCTCGGCCTAATTGGTCCTATAGATATACAAAGGTGCTAATAAGTGCCATGAACATTTCATGTTTTGGAGCAATGACAATCTTTTAGGGCCAGTGACCAGAGCAGTGCTGGCTTTTGAGGAATTGGAGGCCTCAACTGCAGCCCTAAAAGCACCAAGGGGCCATATATAAAAATCAGTACAAGTAAGCCCTCATTCACGCGAGAAACGGCCGGCCCATACAGATCCATGCTGTGTGCGCGGCCATATCGGGCAGCTCCTGGGAAGGACAGGGGCTGTGTGTCATTTGGACACAGCCCGTCCTACATAGCCGTACACATCAGTGCGGGTGTCCGCACTCGTACGCCGACAGGATGGATCTGGTCGGCGTCCAAGCAGGGACAACGGCACCTGTACGGACATGCAGGTCGGCGTACTCCCATGGAGGACATGCTGCTGCGTACAAATCTCACACACAGCAACTGTCCATCCCAGGAGCTGCCCGATGCGGCGGTGCACACAGCGCGGATCTGTACGGGCCGGCCGTTACCAGTGTGAATGAGGGCTAATTGCACAGAAGACTGTCAAGAGCTGCAGACACAGAAGAGATGGTCTGGGAAGGCAGACATGATACAGGCGTTGTTGCAGACTGGGAACCCGCTGCAAATCAAAGCTCTTACTCCAACTACTAGAGTCTGCAAAGGGCCACAGGGAGTAACCATAGTGCCACAAAGTGTTCCATTCCTGCATCCACACCGTCTTCACCTGCCAACTATTGTTTTCACCAGCAGGCACCTGTGACTGTCTATATACCTGAACAGTGACTGCACCCGATTGTAGTCTAGACATACACTGATCAGCCATAACATTATGACCACTATGGGAAGAAGACAAGCCGGTGGAAGCAGTGTGATGCTTTTGGGCAATGTTCTTCTGGGAAACGTTGGGTCCTATCATTCATGTGGATGTTACTTTGACATGTACCACCCACCTAAACATTGTTACTGATCAAGTACACCCCTTCATGAAAAGGGTATTCCCTGATGGCAGTGGCCTCTTTCAGCAGGATAATGCGCCCTGCCACACTGCAAACATGGCTGAAGAATGGTTTGAGGAACACAACAATGAGTTTGACGTGTTGACTTGTCCTCCAAATTCTCCAGATCTCAATCCAATCAATCATCTGTGGTATGTACTGAGCAATCCATGAAGGCCTCACCTCATGACTTACAGGATTGGTTACCGACAGCTCGGTGCCAGATACCACAGCATACCTTCAGAGGTCTAGTGGAGTCAATGTCTCGATGGGCCAGGGCTGTTTGTGGCAAAATTGGGCCCTTCTCAATATTAGGCGGGTGGTCATAATGTTACGGCTGACTGGTGTATACTGAACGGGCACCAGACCAAATGGGTGAAGTCGACCAGAGTTTAATAACTCCGTCACAAAAAGAAAAACCTGCCAATGTGTTCCAGGAACAACATTCCCCTTCATCAGGCCTCGAAACAATAGTGTGGAGCCTTAAAAACTCTACAGTACCGAGACCAAACGACTCCCTTGGATTCTCCTACTCAAACCCCACCAAATAACAGATTGCTTCGGTCTCCGTTCTTCGGTCTCTGTCCTTTTACGTCCCCGCATTATTGTTTCAAGCCGCGATAAAAGGGGAATGTTGTCCCTCCAAAAACCGTTGCCCATTTTTTCCTTTGTGATTGTTTAAAGACTACGCTCTTCTTCTGGGTACCCAGCAAGGGAGACCTGTTCTGCTGTTGGAGCCGCCTAAGAAGAAAGCTTCCAGTAAGCTTGCTTAGAAAACTTTGGTACTTTTGAATGAGCATTGAGATCCCAGCACTTAAAAATATTAGGATGTGCATCCGATTGGCTGCAATCATTGTCAGCGAGAAAATTTTCCACCTGACTGATTTTGCAATCCATTTGTGGAGCCGGCTAGTGCCAAAAGGGTCACGTTGCTCTGATGTTGGTCCATTCAGTAGTAATGCAAGTGGGCCCAGAAAAAGGGAACATGCTCCTGATGACATTTTCCTCAGTCATGTCAGTGACACGGGTGAATCAGAGTGAAAGGTCCGGGGGTCGGGGCTGCTTCTCCGTTGCTGGGATGAGTAGGAATAAAATTGGATCAATGCAATAAAAGGACGCCGCAAGAAAGAGGTTCTGCCATCTGCCAGCGCTTTGGAGTAAGACTAGAAGACATTTCTCTCCACCTCTGTAGAAGAGTACCATGGCATCAGCAAACACTTTAGGCTGGGTTCACACCTAGGCGTATCGAATATGCGCGTTTGTCTTGCGTTTCTACCGCGATTTGCGGTAAAAAAAAGCGTGCGACAAACACGCGTTTTCGATGGCTACCTGTCTGTATCCCAATGGATACGCCCCAAAAGGAGCTCCTGTACTTCTTTGGGTGTAGGGCGTTTTGTAGCGCGTTCATACGGCCTGTAATACGCCCACGTGGGAACCATACCCATAGGAAGTAATGGGATTTCGGTGTTTGAGCGTCTTGCAGAGCGTAGGAACGCGCTACACAACGCCCAGGTGTGAACGGGGCCTTATGGAACAATGATTAAACATGTTACTATCAGGATAGGACCTTACACGGAGGATGTGTGTGGAAGAGGCAGATGTGAGATACAATTCCCTCTCCTGTTTTACGATGATGGTAGAAATGTGTTTAGGGATTAGCTCATATCAGACCGAGCCTAGACTCCTCCAAACACTGGCTAGGTAGCCCGTGTCTCTTCAAATCAGCTGCAGGCTGGCCCACTTCCTGCCGAGGAGCGACATGCCTTTGCCAAAGTATTTGGCCTTCTATGATCTCAATGTCATTGAGCAAATATAAACATGTGGCCAGAACATCGCTGCATCTCACTCCTCTGCTTACCCGCAGCTGTGGTTGGAGAATTCCCGGGCTACAGATGATTGGGTGGCAGCAGAAGCTTCCTTTGGTGTTTGCAAGAGCTCAGTCAGACCAGGTTTGGGTCTGAGGGTCAAGAAAACAAGATAAATATACCAAGGATGGATATTAGGACTATCCCAAATAGAACAAGAACCCTCATATTTCATAAAGTCCTCAAAGTGCGAGCTCTCCCACAGAATGGACTGTTTTAGAAGTGATTTAGACTATGGCTCCCAAATCAAGCCCAATACTTCCGTTCTGTAGCCAGTTGTTGTATCTTTTACATGAGCCCGATCTATATATTACATGAGCCCGATCTATATATTACATGAGCCCAATCTATATATTACATGAGCCCGATCTATATATTACATGAGCCCGATCTATATACCAACAAGAGTCCTAGACTTCAGGGTAACCGCTATGGAATACACAACAGGGGCTCATTCAGACGGGAATGTACACCCTGTAAAAGAGCCGATCCCGGAAAGGACAGTTGCTGCATGTAATTACACACATTAGAATGTTCTTCCCTATGGGAGGATGCGGCTGCACGCATCCGGGTTGCCTTCTGGGGACAGGTCTTTGCGGGTGCTCACGCCTGTCTGAATGAGCACTAAGAGTCCTACCAGACTGTATGGTCTGACATGTTGCAGCATTATTATCTCCTGGTCTGTAACTGCATGTACACAACGATTTACTGAGCTGCATATAAAATGGGAGGCGATAGAAGAGTCTGAAGTCAGATATGGTGGAATTAGTGCGATTTTATTTTGGCTTCACCAGTAACAAAGATGAAAATGGACACTATGCAGGACAGAAACCCTCCCGAATAACCAGAACTGCACCTTCAGCGAAGGGGTCCCTATACCCCGCATCGCAAAGACAGGACATCCTCAACTAAAGAGAAAAATAAACTTTGGATTCCGCTATTAAAAAAAAAAAAAAAAAAAAAAGGGTCCTGGTTCTTCCCCATTGATGGGCCCTGGTTCTTCCCCATTTATTAACAATCTAGGACCTGGCTTGCCATTGATAATCATGATATGGGTTCCCCATTGATAAATCTAGGACCTGGTGTGCCATTGATAATCATGACATGGGTTCCCCATTGATAAACAATCATGACATGGGTTCCCCATTGATAAACAATCATGACATGGTTTAAAGTAGTGAATTTCCACTCACTCAACCACTCCACTGTCAAGCCGTGCAATGATCTGCATGCCTACAGAGCAGTGGAAAATGCCGATATGGAGAATAAAGAAAAACACTTCCAAGTCTTGTGGGCGATATAAAGAAGATGAGCAAACATTGACAGCGGAGAAAGTAATGGGCGACATACAAGCAGTTCTATATACAGAAACATTAATACTGAGGAATGATCAGCATACGTATACAGGTAGATTGGGTTGATTTTTTTTTTTTCTCTTCTCATGTACTAAAAGCATTAAGCAGTTTTACAGCACTAAGGGAAGGCGAGATAATCCTGCTTCAAATCCACTTCTTACTCCTCGTTAAAGGATCTTGCCCGTCCCTTGCAGAGCGAGCGCATTGCATATTCTAGATGTATATTCACAGGCCCCTCTTGCAGGGATTGGGAGGGAGGCGAATCGCTTGGGTCCTCAGCAGCTCATGAAGTTTGCACTGATGTGGTACGTGCGGTGGGTCTTTGGTCCTGAGCGACTATTCTGGATAGCAGGTGGCATGGCGTTGTGTGATCAAGCCTGGAGGATGGCATATTTGAAGAGGGCCATGATGCCTGCGCTGATCAGGCCAGAGATTGGCACCGTGACAAACCACGCCAAGAAGATATTTCTGAAGAGCCGCCAGTCCACAGCTTTCTTAGAACGCAGCCATCCCACCGACACCACCGAGCCGACCTGAAAACACAAGTCACAGAATGAGTATGGAGGAGATCCGTGCTGAATAAAAGTGGATTCTGCAGTATGAAAGCAAAGCCATTAGGAGGCTCAGACAGCGAATTCTTAAAGCCGACCCTAACCCTCATTTGGCACATTCCCCAATAACGCGGATTAGCCCTTTCTTTGACAATTACTTTTTTGTTAATGCCTCTTGCCGTTACTGTCCCTGTATTTTCTGGCCTCGGCAGGAACAATGTAACCCGTACTGCCCACAGACCCCAGGGATAGAAATGTCATGTCCCAGAAGTCTTTGGGCAACTCCGACTTCCTGGCTAGTGAACTAGGTGCACGTGTGCTCTTACTGTTCACACATTGCCATGTTCAAAACCTGTAAATAGGCCCGGTGTTCTATCAAAGATTGTGACTGGGTTGGAATGTGTGACCGGTCACACATTAACGTAATCCCGCCCACTTTTTCAGCGGTGGAATATGTGACCGGCAAAAGGTGAAGAATTCCAACGCTTTCTCAGCTGTTCCGGTCCTGAAATGTCACTTCTATCCGACTGTAGAATGTGAGATCGCAGTCAGAGTCAGATAGAAGTGACGTTTGAAGACCAATCAGCTGTTCCAGGGCAGATCGGTTCCCCTGCACACACAATGTGCGATGGCGATTTGCCCTGAAATAGCAGAGAAAGCGTTGGAATTCTTCACCTTTTGCTAGTCACATATTCCACTGCCGAAAAAGTGGCCGGTATTACGTTAAAATGTGTGACCACGTCACCAGTTACACATTCTAACGCAGTCACAAACTTTGATAGAACACCGGAATGCAAGGTAACATTAGACTGCAAGGAAAAGTGTTTTTTTTTTAACACTACATTTACCAGGTAGACATTTTTAATTGTGCTTTTTAATTTTTTTAGGATTGGGGTTAAGTTACTCTTTAAAAGCAATCCTTTAGAAGTGCATAGAAAACGTATGCATATCATGCTGTTGTTGCCAAGTAGTTGGCAGACTGAATCACAATTACATGCAGCGCTGCAGAAGATGCGCTCGGCTGGGAGTTGGACAATTCATCATTTAGAATGCAGAGAATCAAAACTGAATTTAGATTTACAATTAATGTAGGCAGTAAATCTGCAATAATCCCATCAGTGCCATATTGGTCTATTTTGTTCCCCCCCCCCACACACTGAAAGGAAAACGGCCATACATCTGAATGATAACCACCAGCTGCTCAGTAAAGGTTCACGAAATCGTTGCTGCAACAATTAACAGTCCAGATTAACCCTTTTACAAGGGTAGTGGAGCTATTTTGATGAAGTGGTTGGGTGGCACCAGGCAGATGTCAGTAGAACAGATTACAGACAAGCATGTGTGCATACAAATATCTGCTCATTAAAGCAGAATTGAATGAGCTCACGTTACTGTACGCCCCCATCCTATATGCCACCCAAAATGTAACAGGCTGCTAATTCCCCCCCCATTACTTCAGGGTCACTGTGGCCGCTGCATATATACAGCATTTCTACCTCCTGCAGTGCTTGAAAATTATAAAAATTCTGAACATTAAAAGGTTTACAAATGACAGTATAGTCATCACTTCACCAATAAAAGGGATGGAACCAAAACCAGACCTATCCCCTATAGATGTGCTACCAGTGCTCACCTTGCAATGTGTAGTACTGATCGGGAGGCCGACATTAGACGCAATCACAACAGTTAGAGCAGATGCCAACTCGATGCTGAAACCACTGAAAGGAAATAAAATGGAAATTAGACAATCCTGGAAATGCTTTCAGAGAGCAATAGGAGTAAAACTGATGTTGGTTTCAAGCAATGTGCATCAACGATCCAAATCCAATCCCCCGAATTTTTCCCTCCTTTAGTATACTGCAGTTTGCAATCCTGCAACTTACCTTGATGGTGTAATAGGCGTTAGATCTTTGCCCATCGTCTGGATGACCCTTCGCCCCCAGACCCACAAGCCAATGCAGATACCGATGCCTCCATACAGGAGCAGCCAGATAGGGGTGGCAGCTTTGGTGGTTACATCTCGGGTTTCATACACCAGCCACAAGGCAACCAGCGGTCCAATGGCATTGCTGCAGTAAAGCACATGAAGATACTATGAGGTTAATATTTAAAAACCAGAAGCCAAGTTTATCCCAATGTGAAGCAACTACTAAAATACACATGTACTAAACCCATAACGGCAAAGGAATTGGGATAGCCGACATACAAGTACGCAGATCAGGACTTCATGCCTGCCAATGGAGCATACTTGTTCCAGGTCAGTGACATGCAATGTATTAAAGCCAAAAGGACTGTTAGGTCTGCCAGGGATTTTAAAAAAAACACCAAAAGGGGTCAGAAAAAGGACAACTACTGGACAAGTTACTGGGAACCTGATGAAATTCATCAGATAAACCAGTTTGTAAAATTACTTTTAGCAGTTAGTTAAATCAATAAGTTATACGGTGGTGAGATCAAAGCAAACCTTTATTTTACCTATCCATGGAACAAAATAACAGGATTGCAGGCAAGCCAAGGAGTCTGTTCGTCTTACAAGCTATGGCCCTGCAGTACTGTGCCATCATTGGGGACGGGTCCTTAGCCCTGTACACGGCTGGAATGCACACAAAGGGTTTTGGTGTAGGGACTCTGGTAGGTAAATACACTGCATGGAAGGAGAGTATGGGCTCTTTACCATGCCTGCCATCCAGAAAACCTGGTATTTTGCCTGGTATGGTTAAAGTGCAGGTTCACTTTACAGACCACCAGAGATTTGTGACTAACCTGACATCATTTCCACCATGAGCAAAGGAGCCAAAGCAGGCAGTGAGGATCTGCAGGAACTGGAAGAGATGGGACACCTCGGGCTTGTCCTGGTCATAACGTTCATCTAAGGAAGAGTTGCTGCTCTTCCTGTCCACCACCTCCTCTTCTGTGTTGCCTTCCTCCTGTTCCCCAACATCACGATGCGTATCGGCCACTGCATTGCAATAACTGGTGTAGCTGTCCATACGAGCCCTCTTCTTCCCATCGGCTCCATGCCAGGTCAACTGCCCTGCTTCTTCAGGGCGTGCCTCGGCCTCCCGGTTTCGGAAGGAGTCCAGGGGCATTCCACAGATTGCCATGGTGTAAGATGTGTAACTGTTGTTGCGGCGGAGAGGCTTCTCCCCAGAGTCGCCCATACAGTCTCCAACTTTGGCCAAATGCAACTTGTGTAGCAGCTCTTTGTACAGGCCCGAATCCTTGTGCACCGTGTGGTACTGATACTGACCACTAGAATTAATCTGATTACTGACGGGTTGGTTGAACTGATGGTGGTTTCCATTTGGCAACTGCACAGCTCCTGTGGGAGGAGAAAACAAAAAGTGGTTAGGAACAAAAGTTCTAGTATACAGAACCAAAATGGCACAATGCATGACCATCAATTCAACACTTTAGGCCCCATTCACACTGCGCGATTCGCAAATCCAGCGTTTTGCATTTTGTGCGATATCACGCAAATGCTTGCATTGAATCGCGGCAAAATCAGCTCCAAAAAGGGTCCTGCTGTAGCGACGCACGACCCGCGACAGCAGGACCCTTTGCCCCATTGCCAAGCATTGGAGAGCGATATCGCGCTGTAAATAGCCGCGATATCGAGGCAATTACAGCGCGATAAATCGCTCAGTGTGAACGGGGCCTTAGGCTGCATAGTGCAAAAATCCACTAGGGAAGCACCAATACCAGTATTTATATTTCGGTACTCACCGATAGAGTACCAAGTACCGATACTGCCGGTAGCATAGAGCCGGCTTCCCGGGCAATCGGAGCCAGGCGGCGTGTCAATATCCACCGCCTGGCTTCGAAATTAAACGGGAAGCCGACTCCATTCTGTTTGGCCGGCTGAATGCTGATTGGCCGGGAAGCCGGCATCCCAGCCAAACAGATCTGACAATATAGTGACACAACCCCCACCCTGCAGACACCTCATTCCCCTCACATCGATCCTCAGCAGCAGTCATTACCGTACCAGTCCCTCGGCCAGCTGGGCAGACACCGCTCTCCAAGCTCTCCCGGATATGCCCACGTCTCCTGTGTGTAGAGCGCCCACGTGATCGGCCCTCAGCCGCCTGCTACTGCACATGTGCAGACTGCTCAGTGCTTTCAAATCAGACATCCTATAACAGCATCAAGCAGGCGGTGCTGGCGCTATGCCCACAGGAGACGTGGGCAGATCCAGTTGGGCAGCGTCTGCCCAGCTGGCCGAGGGACTGGTACGGTAATGACTGCTGCTGAGGATCGATGGGAGGGGAATGATTTGTCTGCAGGGTGGGGGTCGTGTCACCGTATCAGATTCATTTGCCTGGCTCGTTTCTGATTATCTGGGAAGCCGGCTTCCCGGCCAATCAGCATGGAGCAAGCTTCCCGGCTCCATGTTCCTTCACGGCACTGCCGGCCAGAGGAAATCTCCCTATGACCGGAAGCGTATCGGAGTATTTGGATGAGTACTCACCCAAATACTCAGCACTAATACCGACACTAGTATCTGTGCATCCCTAAAATCCACACAAAGGGCTTCATTTTGCAACAGGATATAGTAATGTAGGACAAAGCAACTGGATGAGGTGAAAAGTTTCTCTAGAACAGTGATGGCGAACCTTTGAACCCGAGTGGCCAAACTGGATCACTAAACCAACTTGTGTATCTCAAAGTGCCAACCCTGCAGTTAGACCTGAATACTCTGTGGGCTGTGAGGCTCCGAGGTGGTCTCTATGTGCTCTCAGGGGGGCTCTGCGGCAACCCTGGCTAAAGTGCATGCATGCAGACAGACAGGAAGCAGCTGCAGGGGATCAGCAGCAATGCACAAGTCAGCCGGGTGCACCCGCAGACTCCACTCTGCCTGGACTATAAATGCACAAAAGTGCTGCACACCTTCATAATGCAAAACTGCCCTGTTTTGTTGTAGACTCCCCATGTACCATTATTGTAGAAGTAAAACATGTGCAGCGTTTTCAAAGAGATATACACAATACAAAAAAATAAATTAAAGAAAAAATCTGACCAGGAGATGGCGCTAGAAGTCCGTTTCCAGCCGGAAAGGAAATGATTGTTCACAACACAGATAAAACGTTTATCTATAAACAAGCTGCAGGTTGAACTGCTCGCATTGCAGAACTCAGATTGTGTGTCACGCGGCGCTTGTTCAAAAATGTAAATAGCACATCAAGTGACTTCCTCAATTATAAGGTAGTGGGTGAAAGGTTGCAATGTCACCTTATCCTTTCTGGTCACATATTTACCCTGAATATATACGAGTGACTGTCAGGAGTACAAAAGACACACAAGGGCCAGATGCACTTTAAGGAGGATTTCACTATACAGTCTAGTTACTACTGCCATAGCAGAGGCCAGGTGGCGAGGGTCCCCGCACCAGAGGCCAGGTGGCGAGGGTCCCCGCACCAGAGGCCAGGTGGCGAGGGTCCCGATTGCAAACAATGACTGGGAGCTATTGGTGACGGCATGATCACAGGGCTAGGGATGCAGTGCGAGCACTCACCCAGCTCAAAACAACGGCACTGGGTTTACACATGTGGCAGTCCGGCGGTAAGCTTCTACGATGTGCTGACATGTATGGCCCACAGCAACAGGTTAAGTATTAATGAGCACAGAGCTGCATTATTTGGGGCCTTTTATATCTGGCTGGAGTTTGAATTGAAGGTGAAGATTTACTATTCTCCCTCTGGTGTCCAGTCATGTAAAATGCTTAGTGGGACCGTTCCATTTGAACCATCAGCTCCCATCCATTCTCTGGCAGAGACTACAAATGCCATTACTGCACATAGGAGTGACGGGGCATTTCCTGCTATAGGGGATCACACGGACTAAAAACATGAATGGAAACCAGATCCATTTTAACACAAGGATGTGCAAGCAATGGGGGCAGAGTGTTACACAGGGATTGGGAACTTCCAATTCTACACAAAGTGTGACCCTCGTCAGGCCTTTCATTAACACTCGCTGCAGGAAGGGGTCTGCTGGCCATTTATATAAATGTTCTGTAACATATAACCAGCCAGTCTAGCTGCCTCTCAGGTTACAGGTGAAACTATAAACCTGAATGTCGTCGGAGGGCGGGCTGGTACATACATGACTGGAAGCATGTAGTGATTTGAAATCATACTTGCACATATTTGCTCTAAGGCTATGTGACAAGGCTTCACATTACCAGGTTTATATGTAGCTCGGAGGGTTGGGCAGAGCGTTTATGCAAAGACAAGAATTTACTACACGTGAAGTAAAGAACTTACCATACATAACATGCAACACTAAAGTGTATAGAATTTTACTTAAGTGTTTAAACTACAAACAGCTGAAGAGCACGAGCTGGCCGCCCCTGGTTTAAAAGGGCACTTTACCTTATGTCCTCTGACCATGATGGTGCACGGTCAAACACGCTGTAACATACTACAGTTTAGCCTCCAACCTTTTCCTAAACTAGAATCACAAGTTACAGTCTGCTGTATGACAGAAATGTGCAAAATATCAATGGCAAGATTATATGTTCTCAAAAATCTATGCTAATGCAATATAAAACCTGAAGACACGGGGGGGCTGAATGTACCCATCCCCCCCTTTCATATAGGG